TTTCAACATATCCTGAAGGTATAAATGACATGATTTCGCGTATAAAAAATGCCCACTGGCGTGAAAGTAGGGTAGCATTTCTCTTATGCTTTGAAGATGCAGGTACCAATCACCGGATCTTTCAGCTTGGACAAATTTCTTGACTATCGTTACCATTTTGAAATACTGCACCCACAGTCTAGCAGTTGCTCCTCTAGACTCCAACTCCTCAAGTTTGTTCGAAAACTTGTCAAGAATATTTTTAACTTCAGGAGCATCAATATCGGCAGATGCACTGTCACTCATTACATGACTTATAAGCTCTAAAAAAGCTAACTGTTCTTTCTCTGCTATATCCAGCATGGACAATACAATATTACTCATTGCAAGGTGAGCCAAAATGTGTGCCCGTAGAGCTCGTGAGTAAGCGTGTCCTGTCATCATTTTGTTGGTTGATGTAGCTGCGTAAGCCTCGCTAAATAGCTCCTGTAACCCACTGCCATCCATGATAAAACCGATAGCCCCCATGAATGACATGAGTAAATGGAATCCACCGAGCCTGACGATTACTGAACTGATTTCTGAATCAGGACCAAATGAAGAAGCTACAATATCTCTTGCCTTTATATAAAGGGGTTGGTCAAACGTTACGAAACATGAATCCTGTTTAAGTGATTTGCATTTATTTGCAGCATAAAGCAGTGCTGAGTAAACTGTATCATAGCTGGATGGCGGGGCATTGATGAATGGTAGGCACAATATGCCTGATTTTGAATAAGATCGGCCCTTAGTAACTTTTTCCATAAACCCATTCCAACCTGGAATGTCCTTACGTCCTTGCCATTTGCCATACGCCCATATAAAATCAGTGGGCAATAGCTTAATCTCGAAACTAGGCAATTTCTCGTCAAGGTCGAGTATGTCAATATCACAAAGGCCTGTCTTAGCTTTCCTTTGAAAAGCTTTGGCATTGCTCCGAATTCGCCCAAGGTTCCTGCATTAGGGATTTTTTTTACTCTCTCCATAATAGTTCCTTCAGATTTTGAAGGCTCAGGTGTAGTGCACTGGATGCCTCCCATTGCGTGAAAAGTATTGGTGCCATCTAATGTGTCAATGTTTACGTCAGCATTGTCAAAGACAAACTGTGTGAGCGATTCTGATGGTACTATATCTTCATTTCGTTGTGTCAAGCATGAAATTTCATAATGTTGCACTTCATTGTATGTGCAACAAAATCCTGTCGCTGAAACAATCTCCAAGAGATCCCTTGAGCCATATTTTCGATGAATAAGCGCCCCTAGGCCAACTTGTAACGCTGATCGATAAGATTTCGGTCGCGTAGCTGCAATAATTGCGTGGGCGATGGATGTAATTTTGGTATTGACTTTGTCATTATCTTGACTCTTATTAGGGGCAATAATAGTTGATCTTAGGAGCAAGTCAAGCGATTCCGGTATGTCGTGTTCAACATTATCTAAAAAACTGTTAGGTGCAGGATAGGAGGTGAAGTTATATATTCTTGAACGAATGTCCTCACGGATTATGGCAGCAGCTGCTTTTACCACACGGAGTTTCTCTCCCTCTTTGTCAGCCAGTTTTGACTCGTACCATTTCTCAGTCAAGATCGTGTAGCCTGTGTTCTTGAAGCATATTATACTGGGACTGAATCTGTTCTTACCAATTGTAACTATAATGTCGTCTCCATAAACATTCTCGAGCCTTTTTTTCAGAATGAGGGTTGTTGGGATTGGTCCACTATAATCTTTGAGAATATCACTCAGTACAAACTGGCATTGGTCTTCATTTGCTTCAAGGTATCTGCATATGTAATCTACTGCAGCCGTCACTTCTTCATCCTCTGGGCGGCCTCGCTTTGTTCCTGATTGTACATATTCTCCGAAATAATTTTTACAGCATGATCCATGATACCTCCCTTCAGCTGCAATAAGATCAATCTCATTTTCAATTCGAAAAACTACAGCGTTACTCCATTCATCACTTTTCCTGGTTGTTTTAGCTGCATCAATAACCTTTTGCTTAAAATCCAGTTTAGTCACTTCATGAACTTTTTCGCGTCGTGATTGGTTTAATTTTTTTTGACGTTCTATAAATTGATCGGAGGCATATTTTCCACAAAAGAGACAGTGTCCCTTGAAATCAAACAGCGGTTGATTCGATCTCCTAGAGGCGCTAGGTTTAGAAGACTGCTCAGCTAGTGCAGCATCAATGTAGGACTGCTTATTGTAGATTTTTCTGCATTTTTCATGAACAGTTACAGAGGTTTCATCCTTTAACAAAATGTGTTTCCCATCCTTTCTTTTTTTACTACTATCCATGAAAGTTAGAATACCTTTTTCTTTTACTGTTGTCACCTGTAACAATGACAATTTTATAAAAAAAATAAAAAGTAGCACACTATATTGTTCGAATATATATTTAAATTTGTCCAATATTGCGTATATTTAGACAATATTGGCCAGAATTTGATAATGTGCCATGTGAGATATAAATGAAAGTCAGTGCTATTGTACAAGTGAATCACTCACATGACATAGCAAGAATGCCGCATTAATAAATAATGGCCAAGTAGGCACGTCAAAAACTTCGAAGAGAGAAACACAATCAGCAGAGCGAAAATTAATCAGAGTTATTTTTACGCAATTTATAATTATTGTATTAATTGTAAATGTTCTAGGTAACTTTTTGAGTAAAAAAAAGGTATTTCATATTATTGATCTCGATTTGTTGAAGTTTTCATTTGTACCGTGTGGTCTTGAGCAAACACTAGCTTTGTTTGTTTATTTGCACCAGCCAGCACCAAACTAATCTTTCTACTTCAAACGAGTATGTTTATCTCTATATTTTTGTTAGGCTGACAGAGACAGACATTATTTTTCACTGATCAGGTGCAGCTTGGTGTAACTTTGGTGCAGATAAACAAACAAAGCTACTAATTTTAAATAATATTCCAGTATTAGGATCGATAAACCGATGTTTTAAAAATAGAAATACAATGTTGAGACAGCTCACCTGTCCTTGTAAACTATCACCACAGATGAAACATTTTGAATCCTCCATTACTTTTCACAAAACGTCACTACAACGCACACTGGGCTAAGAAAATAAGTTAAACTGGAAAATATTCTCCTGGATGAAAAAACGGCGAAAAACAGTTTTTTACCGCAACGTTAAACGGCTACGACTCGGGTCGGGCGATGCTGCTGCTTCGGCGCGGCGTGTATAGATAGCAAGGGAAGGGGAAGAAAGATGCATCTTAAGCCGGGCCTAGACACTTCGCGATTATAGAGAACTGCGAAAATTTTGCGATTTATCTGGCGATGAGAAAAGTCAATTCCGACAATAGATGAATGTACTCTCCCTGACACATCGCAAATATTCAGGAATACCCACCCATATTCGTGATGTGTTTAGGGCCGGCATTACATATTTGTGATACCCACAGTATTCGGTGCAGTATAAACTCCGAACATATAATAATTTCATATAATACTTAACTTATCGGAAACAAGGTTTAAAAGTCCAAAATATGATTATTTCTTCAAAAATTGGAAAAATGTTTGTTTTTCAACATGCATATGGGCCATACCACTTGACTTAATTTTAATATGTTGTGCTTATTCGACGTAGAATTTTACGTACTTTAATTTATAAAAGAGTAAAATTTTCATAGAAATGCATAATTTCGGAGTAATCAGTAAAAAACTGAAAATAATACAAAAAATTTGAGGTTTTCGGGACACCCCGTATGTAGCACAAGCGGAAAATTGAAGCAAACCTTAAAAACCCTTTTTTACATGCAAATAAAGAGATTAAAACGATTTCCAGATTTCCGAGAATTATTTCGCCTACACCCTCTTTTTCGGCCTATGTTTCCTGGCCTAATTATTGTACATTATACGCCAGGTAGCAGTTTTTACTGGCTCTTGAAGGTGGCAAGCTTGCCTGACGGCTCGCTAGTAGTTTCCTTCAATCGCCAGTAAAAACTGTTTTACCTGGCTAACAATGTAATAGTTATTTATATTACTAGTACGGTATGAGCTTCATTACAGTAACGAGTGGGAAATATTGCCAAAACGAGGTCGTAGACCGAGTCATGGTAATCACACGAGTGGTGTAATGAGCGTTACCGTACGTGTGATATACAACATTTTACGTACGACCCAGATTTTTTTCATATATTCGAAATGGTTTTAATTTTTCACAAAAGATTATATTTATAATTTTTGATAAATGAATTTTAAAAAGTGCCATTTTTCACTGAAAATGAGTTACGCACTGAGTGATGTAATGAGCTCATTACATCACTAAGCACGATAATGCAACTTATTACGTAACTCAAACAGGCTAAAATGAGTTACGTAATAAGCTCTTACAGTGTAGTACATAAAATATTATTACAGTGTTTTGTATATCTTTTATATTGTAACTTGTGTCTATGTGTTTTTTTTTTAAATTTATTCATTTTATTTTGATATTGCTTTTTAATTTGTATTTTTTTATACATGTAATAATTGATAACGTACAGCAGCAGTGCTTATTATCTTAATACATCTATCTATCTATCATTGTATTGTCTCAACTGGATTTCACAAAAAACGATAAACGTTTTCGTGTTGCACTCGTTGCAGAGACACATCCTAGTACAGACCTTTTCAGTTCTTCACAATAGTTTTCTAAGGGACAAACCCAAAACGTTTACACGCGTTTTAATTCCACATGCACACGACTGGGACCGTAACTTGTTATAAACAGAGTACGAAATAAAATGCCCCTTATGTGAACTTTGGATCGTTTTTAAATGTGGAAAAACGGAGAACTAAATAATATATATAATATGGAAAACAACAACTAATATTATTGGCGTAATGGCAACTGTCTACGGACAAGAAAACTTTTGTATGTGAAAGATTGGTAAAAAGATTGCAAGGCATGATCACCTTCTATTTATATGAAATATATGTATTTTGGCTATCTGTGAAAAATACCTATTTATTTTTTAGCTGTTCCTCCAATGGTTCAAGACGCTAAATCTGTCGCAGTCAATCCTGCAGATCACAATGCCGTTTCTAGATGGAGAGAATCGAACAAAGCTGTAAGTTGAATAGTTTTTAAAGTGAAAACTTCTTTAGGCACATTCAGCATACTTTTTTATGGATCCTACTGAATGAAAGCGAGCCGTTACGCTCGGCTATGTAACGCCCATTCGGGTACAGTCAGTTCGAGTCGACTTCAGCCAAGAAAGACAGGAAAACAGTAATTGCATTTTATTTAAAGTGAATTTTGACAATAATTAATTTTTTTTCCTTGAGCGTGATTTATTATAATACACATGTGCGCCTATGTAAATGTGACAAAAATTGTTGCGTTACATGCAGAGATAGGTAATCTTAAGAATACTTTCGAATCAAAAGTATTCATCACATCTTTTAGTTACCATAAAGCCATTTTTTTCATCTTCACAGTATGATGAAAACGAATATAAATCTGGGCAATAAAAAATATAGAACACACAAAAAAAACCTGTATTTCAAAATCTAGTCTTATTGAAGTTTTCACTTCTGTAGGTGTAGTCTTAAACACACACCATTTTTTTTTTATACCATTCACCATATGTTTCTTCTGATTTTCATCGCATTTTTGAAACACGTTTATGAATTTCAGCTTCTAAATGCTGTTGGTCAAGTAAGGAACGCTGTCCAAGTCAATCCCGAGTTGCCGCCATTACCTGATATAAACAATCTTCATATTGGTAAGCTTAATTTTCTGCATCTAAAATAGTTTTAATTTTTTCATCGAGTATGGTAATTGGTCACTAACTTTTTCTAATCTTTTTCAGAACCAACTCCGAATCAATACTTTGTAGAAAAAGGTATTATGGGTTCGCTTTCACTAATAAATATAACTTTTACAAAATTAAACAAGAGTACAGGAAAGGTGTCAATATTTTTCATACTAATGAAGTGGCTGTTCATTGAGTTATTATTGGACACCTTGTCTGTCTTTTTATTATTAATCTTTTGTACATTTATTGATGTTTCTTCTTGATGTTGTAATCTAAATTTGGAATTAACATATTTGTACATTTTTATTATTACGGAAAGGTAGTATCTCAAAATGGCAAGACGGACAATTGCCAAAAAAGCCAATTTTTTGGGGATGAGTAGAATATTATAGGAGATGCTTGAATTCTTAAAGTACCAACAAAAGTGTTTTTGAGTCTGCGGTCATCCTGAAAATATGATTTTAAAGGTCTAAACTATTGGTCTTCAACCGTGCATTTCAAAAAAAAATTATTGACTCTTTACAGTAGCTTCGTGGCATAGTTTCCATGACGCAGCGAAGTTTGATGCAGTGTATTTTTCTTTTTTGTATCACTAGGAAATAATAATTGTGTCTTATACAACTTTCAACCTTCAATGAAAAGCACATTTCGAGTTTTAGTTTTTTCCCGCTAGTAAAACAATATCTTTAATAAAATCTGTAGTAATTCCTTCTGAAACTATTAAAAAATCAATCCATAGGAGCACAGATATCTAAAGTTGTCCTTATTTTGAAGATACTGACGCCCCAGCAATTTTTGTTAAAAATCTGCTAGTCTATCAAAAAATTGGCTAATAGCATATTAGACTACCTTCGCCATTGGCTTTTGGAGACTATTTTATCGTAATATATAAATAAGTCAATTTTTTATAAACTTCCTTCGCTATTTGTAGGCTTAACACTATTGGCTAGTTGTTACTCACATCGAAAGGTACAAAATGAGTTACAAAAAATGTGTTATTCTCTTTTTGCACCTTTCAAAAATAATACTTGTAGTCGGGGCACCACTGAGAGACACACCAACACCAGGAACCGAGTATTTTGGGGGCCAATACAGCCCCTCACAGCACTTCGGAAGGCCTATTAGCCCCTTACCTAAATGGGCTAGAGGTACTTACATTTTTCTGTTTTTAAGCTAGTTCTTTGATAATACGCACAGTAATGGTTAGTTATTTGATTCTATGTATATATTTTAGGGGACAACTCTGATCTCTTAATGCAAGAACTAGCGCCACCTATTAATTCATATCCAGGTAAAAGATGGCATATTAAAAATCAAAGCATTTTTTTTTATCACCCTACCTTTTTTTTTGTTCTCCATTCAGCTTTTTGTTGAATATGATTGCTCAAGATAGTTTGAATTTGAGCATGTTATGCCTTGTTTTAGAGAGAACGTGTCGGGGCCTAATTCTTGAATAATCTCGCATACAAAATTTGATATGATTTCGAATGTTTCCTATTTGATTAACGTTGCTGTCATTCTAATTCGAATCAAATTACGTGTGCGAGGATATTCAATAATTGATCTCCAAATTATGTATTGAATTCCTATAAGGAATTCTTTATTATCTGTGAAAATTTCTAGTGTTGGTTAGCTTTAGGGGCTGCGTTGCTTTTGCATGTTTTGTCTTTTTTTCATTAATCGAAAAAACAAATTTTCTCTAACTCTTTCTCTCTCTTTCATGCTCACTTTAGGATATTACTCTTTTATTCCACAATATATTTTAGAGGATGGTATGTTTGAATGTTGTCGCATTTTGCTTTTATAAATATGTTCCAAAGGAAAATTAGTGAATCATAAATCAGATTGGAAAAATATATACAGTGTGATTTACGTAGCCCGTGCAATACAAGTTGTCTAGTTTACAGGTGCATTAGTAGAAATAGCATTTAATCCACCTGCAATCTAATCCATGGGCTACATAAATCACCCTGTATACCTACCCATGCATTATTGAATCTGGTGATAATAAATGACTCAACAGCTCTAACTTTCCCATTTTAATGAACACATGTTGCTTCAAAAACTACAAAAAAACTCCATATATTTCAAGGTTCTGAATTTAGAAAATTCCAGCCGTACCTCATGAAATAATTTTTCGCTGTGATATTGGAAGATCCATCTTAGCCTCTTGGCATATAAAATTTAATTATGTACTACCCCTGTGTATTAAATGTCTTTTTTTCTTCAACAATATGAAAGCTAGAGCTGTTTCATTATTCTCCTTTATTGGATTTATTTTATTTAACTTATCACTATAGACCAAGCTCCGCCAAGGCCCCCATTACCTTACGATGGAGCCCCAGTACGTCCACCGCCTCCTGAAACTGATGATGAAGACGAAGTCTTCAAAACTGCTCCAAACGCTAGTCAACCCATTATGGTAACTATTTCTTCTTCACAAATAATCAAACGCTTAAACTCAACTATTTTCAGGTGGCCGCCCACAATTTACACAGAGAAGTTCGCCAATGGTCAGCAAAAGATAACGAACTTATCGCTGCTGCCCAAAGAATGGCCAAATTGATGGCGAGGCTTTCGGAACTTGTCCACAACGACGACAAAGGCTCTAAACGCGAACTGATTGCTACAGCTAAAGCTATCGCTGACGCTAGCGCTGACGTTACTAGGATAGCTAAGCAATTAGCTAGGGAGTGTACTGACAAGAGAATAAGGACGAATTTATTGCAAGTTTGCGAGAGGATTCCTACGATTGCTACACAATTGAAGATTTTGAGTACTGTTAAGGCTACTATGCTTGGATCGCAAGGTAATTTACTGTTTAAAATGTCACTAATATTATCACTTTCAAAGCTGTAAATATTGCTTTTTGTTTAACGCACCATTAGGAAAGCCAGTGAAAGGTACATTTTAAGTTTTAAGCATAAAAATACATAAGGACAAATTTGTTTATAAAAATTTATACAATCTAGTAGGATCAAAACAAAAATGTCTTTGAAAACAATTTGATCATAAGGCTAGCTTTAGTGCTAGAGGGCACCAGACTAGCATAGGAATAAAGTAGAAAATTAAATTCATGACAAATAGTCAGCTGAAAAGAGGATTAACATACTCTCTAGTCTTTCTTAACTCATCTCTAAAGACATATTTAAAAGACTACTCGGCATAAGAAAGAAATCTGGGAATCTAGGAATGTACTATTTGGCCCTCTCTTAAGTTGAATCAATTTCAAGAGGCCCTGGAATGTCTTCAATGCAAGCATGTTATATAGAAACTTTCAGCAAATTAGATATAAACACAGTTGGTGTCATTGATGACGTGCAACGGATTTACTTTGTCATCCTTGTTTATAAAATATGTCCCCCTGCTACTTTCGAGCAAAGTGAATACTTGAGTGGGTCCTAAAGTTAGCAAAGTTTGCAGTGGATGCCAGACTTTAGCTCCTCACTGTATGTTCTATACATATAGTAATCTTTTCAGTTTGTTGAAGCCTGTATTCCAGAGGTTTGCTTTTATTTCAAGTAACTAAACTCATTAAGTAAATTTATAAAATACTCAAATCTAATATCTAATAGCTAGATACTAAAAATCCTGTTGTATCATGTTTTTTAACTCCGTGAGAAACAGGTTAATAAAAAGATCTACCTCTCTTGGAAGTTGATTGGCATCTCTGCAGATTCTTGGTACAGGACTAAAATAGCCATAATTGGTCCTGTCATAATATATTAGGTCTGTTTCTGCAGAAATCACAAACCAGTTACAGCAAAATTCATTAGTTGATCTTGTAAATCTAGCAGGTATATAAATACCTTAATACAGTTTTGTGATGAAAATCAATTATTTTTTGAAAAATGCTCAATTCTGTCATTTTCACGAGGATCAACAATAAATTATGACTACAAATTAGGAAATACTTCTTTGAACAGGGTTTCTCACATCAAAGATCTGGGGGTCCTATTTGATTCCAAAATGTCCTTCAATCTGCACATTGACAGATTGGTTAATGATTGTAATAGGATTCTTGGACTTATCAAAAGACAGGGTGCTGATTTTCATAATTATAAAACAATTATAACTCTTTATTATTCCTATGTACGCTCCAGGAGACTATAGTTCTCTGGATGGTATTTTCTGCTTGATCCTGATGGTTTAGGATAGAAGAGCAGAAGGGCCTTAGTACCAGACAGGACTTAAAGTCACGGCACTTGCACTAGGGCGTAAGATAGGTAACTTACAACCAGACTAGAGCACTTGTTGCAAGTTGAAAAAAAGGACCCAAGCCAGATAAAGCACTTGCTATAAGGGTTAAATTAAACCTGTAACCAGACAAGGCACTTGCTACAGGTTTAAAGAAGGGCCTAATGTAACCAGACAGAGCAATATAGTCTCCTGGAGCGTACATGGTCCTTCGAGCAAAAAGTTACAACGGTCAAGAATCAGCAGCCTGCAACAGCAGGCAATAGGTAACTTACAACCAGACTAGAGCACTTGTTGCAAGTTGAAAAAAAGGACCCAAGCCAGATAAAGCACTTGCTATAAGGGTTAAATTAAACCTGTAACCAGACAAGGCACTTGCTACAGGTTTAAAGAAGGGCCTAATATAACCAGACAGAGCAATATAGTCTCCTGGAGCGTACATGGTCCTTCGAGCAAAAAGTTACAACGGTCAAGAATCAGCAGCCTGCAACAGCAGGCAACCAGAGTCCTAGAGGTCCCACCAGTAGCGATCCTCAGGTCCATCAGCCAGAGTCCCAGAGGTCCCACCAACAGCGGGCCCAGAGGTCCAACCGAACCAAGCAGCCATCAACCAGAGTCCTAGAGATCCCACCAGTAGCGATCCTCAGGTCCATCTGCCAGAGTCCCAGAGGTCCCACCAACAGGGGGCCCAGAGGTCCAACCAAACCAAGCAGCCATCAACCAGAGTCCTAGAGGTCCCACCAATAGCGAACCACAGGTCCATCAACCAGAGTCCCAGAGGTCCCACCAACAGCGGTCTCAGAAGTTCAACCAGGCCCAACAGCGGTTAACCACATTCCCAAAAGTTCCACCAATAGCGGTTCTAGAGGTCCAGCTAAGCCCATTGCAAGATCAACAGAACAATGATGGAAGAAATGAACTTACGTGCTGCTCAGCAAGAAGAACTAGGCAAAAAGATCATGCAGCTTTACACCAACTGTAAAAAAGATGGCCAATCAAGAAAAACTGAACAGTAAGTAGAACAAAAACTTGGAGCACTAGAAGAACTATGGGATGCAGTTCAAGAAAATGATCATGAACTAAACAAGGTCAATGAACCAAATCACGCCTACTTTACTAAAAAATACCTGCAACAAATAAAAGAGAGGTATGAGACTTGCAAGAAGTATCTTGAAACGATCAATGATGAATTACAAAATAGTCCACAACTCTTACTTTTGAAGAAACAAAATCTTAAGTGTGAGGAATTGGATAGAACAATCGACCAAATCAACCAAGATCTAACTGAATCAAAATCAAGAATAAGGTATGAATTACAACAGAAAAAGCTGGTAAAACAATCGGAAGCTATTCAAGAATTGCACGAAAAGATAATAATTCATGAAAAATCATTCACCAGTGCCTACTTCAGAGATGATAAGTTTCATGAGTATCAGATGAAGTATGAAGACACGTTGGAAAAATTATCAGCGGAAACAGTCGAGACACAAGCTTCATGTCAGCCGCAATTACCACAGACCCAATCAATCTGGCCTGTAAGACATCTTGCGTCACCACAAATAACCATTCCAACATTTCACGGAGGCTACGAGAACTGGGGCTCTTTCCATGATGTTTTTTTGCGAGTAGTCCACGACAACATACATTTTTCCAAGGCAGAGAAGATACAACTACTCAAAACACATGTTCGAGGAGAAGCTGCAAGACTCATTCAGCATCTGACAACCACTGAAAACAACTACGAGACAGCATGGGACTTGCTTCAGAATAGATATGAAAACAAACGACTATAGCCTCGAAACTGATAGACAAGTTATTAGACCTCCCAAACCTTTCCTCCGGAAACGTTGAAAAATTGAAGCTCTTGGATGACATCACCAAAGAATGTACTCGTGGGCTAGAAAATATAGGAGTAAGCACACATGGGGGCCAATCATCATCAGAATAATCAGTCGGAAATGGGATTCCGAAACCAACAAGATGTACGAACAAACAATTACGGAACCACACAAAATTCAAGACTACCAACAATTCATGGAATTTCTTGAAAGAAGATTTCAATCTCTGGAAGCAACAAGCCCAAGCAGAAGAAACAACTCAGCTTGCCATTATTGCGAGAAAGATCATGCGATATATCACTGCCAAGCTTTTAGAAAATTGTCGGTAGAAGAAAAAAATCGTTTTGTTCAGAAAATAAACCTCTGCGTGAACTGTCTGAACCACGAAAAACATATTAGATGTCGCAGCAGTGTAACTTGCAATGTCTGCAGGAAGCATCATCATACAATCCTACATAATGAAAACAATCAACGAAGCTTCAACAACTCAGGACATCAGACATCAAGAAGAACTGATCAAAGAGCCTCCAATCAAAATGAAAATAGCCAAACACGCAACAACTTCAGGAAAAACGATCAAAGACAAAATACCTCAAACTATCACGTAAAAGACCACGAAGAGAATGTCCTGCTTGCCACAGCATTGGTAGAAGTAGCAACAGCTAGCACCACCCAGTATTTACGTGTCCTCATTGACCAAGGATCACAATCTGCGTTTATAACAGAAGACGCAGCCCAGCGTCTTAATCTCCCACGTCAGAAAATCAGAGCAGAAATTTCAGGCATAGGAGATGGTAGCCCACAAGTTTCCTCCTCGGCAGTAGATCTCCTCATCAAGCCACGCTTTCCGAGCAATTTTTCACTTGAAGTGAAAATGTTAGTACTTCCAAAATTAATACAATCAACTCCACGATATCAATTAGAAGTCGACAACTCGTACACGAATGAAATCCTAGCAGATCCAACCTACATGAAACCAGGTCCAATTGATGCTATAGTTGGAGCGAGAGAATATACGCATATTATTCTAAATGGCATTCAAAAAACAAGAGAAGGACTTCTTAAGCAAAATACGGAACTAGGATGGATGGTATCTGGAGGAGTATCGTCAAACCACTTCAAGTGACCAGCATGATTTCCCGACACGAAGAAGATAGCCAACTCACGAAATTTTGGGAATTAGAAGAGTTGCCAGAAACAAATAAATATATATCAGGAAATGACGAAAGGTCTACGAGGATATAAATAATATAAACAAAAATCAAGAAATGTTGATAAAAGCTTCCAATCACCAGACACAATTCATGATCTCCGCACTATCAATACTACCGAACAAAAAATAAATAACCAACTTCGCAGATTCCAAACAAGGCTTAATCAAGGATTAGAAGCAATTCAATCTATGAACAAATGGTTTTCAAGTATAGACATTAACAGCCTAAACATTCATGTCCTAAGCACTTATCAAATAGCAACTAACTACATTGCAGAAATAAATTCATACTACGAGAATATGATAAATATCCAGTTTAACAGGGGAACAATCTACGACATCATATCTCCAACGTATCTTCATACTCTGATAACGGATATCAACAGAAAATTACCGAACAACTTAAAAGCATTATCTACGCCTGTGATAAAAATGTCCCTATGTCAGAATAGCAGCCACTTCCAAGTTTTTGGCTATTTTCCCATAATAGAAATATCACAGTTTGATGTTATAAAAGCAACCCCAATTCCAGTACGAATATCCAACAACTGTTACTGGACATTAGATATATCGAACGATTATATCGCGATCGATTATAACTCTAAGCTTTACTTTCAACTCCATAAAGAAGAATTCGAACGATGCTTGAAATTAAAACATCACATGTTTCTCTGTTCTCCAGATGTTATAAGAAACATTAATAACGACGGCAACTGTATTATTGATGAAATATACCATAAGCCTGAAGCCAAGAAATGCAAAACTTTCACAAATTCAGTGCAGGCTACTATATGGAAACAAATGGCCACACCAAATACATGGTTATTTATTACGAATGGATCAGCCAATATAACTATTATTTGTGGTGGAGTCCGGGAAGATGTTGACATTATTGCAACAGAAATTCTCAGCTTGGCTCCCGATTGTATTATAGAAACCAAACAGCTAACACTAACAGCAATACGAGTGGAGCAAAGCAGTTTAACCAGCTATTCCAAAGCTGTCTCACTCGATAGACACGACGAACCCACACATATTCAACATTCACAACTCCGGCCAGCATCTGAGTCAGTAATTGGGCATTCAGATGATTTAACCTCACTAATGACAGAAGAGAAGTCAATTCAGATTGAACTACAAAATCATATATGGAGAGATATACAACATCATTCTAGCATAGTTGCAGTGACAACTACCATTGCAACAATCGTGGTAGTTTTAGGTGTCTGGATAGGCATCAAATATCTAAGACTTCGAACAAGAGAGAAAAGGACTACCAACAAACCTGAAGAGTATGAACTACATTCCCTGAAGTCGACAAATTGAGAGGCGCAGAATGTCCATTTATCCAAATTGGAACATTTAATCTTATATTTTTACCATACTGTACATATTAGAATTAATTAATTATAAGTAACCTACTTTTATTATTGGAAATGACGACAATCGATGTGTGCAAAATCAGCATTTATTGTATATAACAGGTGATCAATTTCATTAATTAAATCAGATTCAAACTTATTGTTGTTTCTCTTACTTAAATTGTGCCCAAGTCACCATTCACCATTGGCCTAGCAACGCTAGTAGAGTCGTGAGACTGCGCTCTAACAATTACTTTTCTTTAGCTTTATTGTAGCAGGTGCTCTGTCTGGTTACATTAGGCCCTTCTTTAAACCTGTAGCAAGTGCTTTGTCTGGTTACAGGTTTAACCCTTATAGCAAGTGCTTTGTCTGGCTTGGGTCCCTTTTCCGACTTACAACAAGTGCTCTAGTCTGGTTGTAAGTTATCTATCTTACGCCCTAGTGCAAGTGCCGTGACTTTAAGTCCTGTCTGGCCCTTCTGCTCTTCTATCCTAAACCATCAGGATCAAGCAGAAAATACCATCCAGAGAACTAGAGACTCCTGGAGCGTACATCCTATGTTGTTAACAAACTACAATTTGCTTCTACTATATGGAGTCCCAGATACAAGAATGCCAATTTCATGTTCATCAAAATCTGCCATAGTCACTCTGCATTTTTTTGGATATAAGATTCCAATATTTGACAGCTAACCACGCCTCACCTGTCATATATACAGGGTTGTGCCCGTGGTAAAAAATGTTACTTACGGCATCCCCAATAACATATTTAAATTTCTTCCAAATATCACGGGTAACCAATTTCCATTTAAATATTGCGGGGGGTCCTTTAAAACTTTTTTTATATTTTTGCACTTTTATATCTTAAGCTTATTAAAATAATAAAGTATGGTATACCAAAAAATTGCAAATTTTGTGCTCTACAAAAAAGGTTTTCTGAAAATTTTTCGAAAAACTCACTGATCTTGAGAAAATTGCAAAAAACTTAAAAAATGTACCTTTGGGGGTGGTTTTGGGGTTGCGCCCCTATCGGATTTTTTGGGATTTTTAGCCAGTTATATAAAACATCAAAAGAAACACAATGACGCAAAAATTAGCTTGTAGCGAATTTGTTTGAGGTTCAGCTCAAAATTAGCCTAGTTTTACTAGCCTAATAGTATAGTTTTTAAGCTCTTGATCAAACCAAATAGGGAATTTAAAATCAGATTTCAATTTATATTTTGGTACAAATTCATCAATCCACTGATTAACAATATTATAGAACCTAACTACAGCTATATCTACATCACAATCCAATGTGAGATCCCAATCAATATTCAACAAAATATGATGAGATTGCTAAAATCACAGTTTTAAAGTTATATCAAAACTCCACAATATTATGCTGAACAAAAATTGGACTGTTGACATACAGTTGTTTAGAAATTTCCCAACTCATTGATATATTCTAGTTAACAAGTTCACTTTTCATTGCCCTCTAGCGAGAAATCTAATAATCAAAATCAATTCTAACACCAGTTTTAATCCTACTCAATGTTACTGATTTTCTATTGAAAAAAATTTTGAATTTTTGCTAACTAAACTGATTTCTAGGTTCCGAAGAAGACAGAGAAGCCACCGAAATGTTGGAAGGTAACGCCCAAAACTTGATGCAAAGTGTCAAAGAAACGGTTAGAGCAGCTGAAGGTGCCAGTGTTAAAATCCATGCCCAAACGCACGGTAAACTAAGATGGGTGCGTAGGCAACCGTGGTATGCTTACGCCTAAAAAAAAATTAAGAACGCAGAAAAAGGCATCAATTCGGATTTTGTAGAATTGATGCAGGGGTTGGCTGTCATTACATGCCAACAAAATTATTATTCACACCAAAATTCTAGGCCTTATTTATATACGCAGTAGGTCACGTTTTGTGTTCATTTATTATTCGTATTGTCTAACTTATAATTTTTCATTAATGTTTTTATTTTGATGGATGTCGTTAATTTTTGTAACTAAAAGTTAAAATGATATTTTACTAATTTTGAGGCAGCTCGTTGTTACTAAAAGAAGAGCAACTCGTCGAATTTTCACTGCAGCAATTTATATTTATATAGACTAGAAAAAAGAAAGCACTTATTTCTCACTAATGCGTATCAGTAACGTACAAATTGTTATCGTGAAGAATTTACAGCAATATTATGAGTTTTTTGGCCTAGGTTCATTTGAAAAATACATTAAATTACATATCTGTATGCTTAATTCAGTAGTAACTTTCCTAAAAAAGTTTTTTTTATGGATTTTCATGATATTATATGTATCTATTTGCAGCTTATTAGCTAATCGATAAGTAATGAAAATTTAGGATACAAATAAAGTAGGGCTTTAACCAGTCTCTATGATTTATGATTGTATCAATATTGTCTTCCAGTTAAAGCCAACAACGAATTTGCTTTAGAGATTGGTAAAACTTGCCCTAAAAAGTGATGTAGACATGCCTTTTGCTAAGATAATCCCTGAAATAGATAGTATTTTTATAAGCTTTATATAGAGACTTTCCCTATATTATAATAATGATGTGCCTATTTATTTTGTGCAATAGTGCCAAAAAGGTTGATTTTTTTTTTGTGTTATTTATTTTGGTTGTGAACAAAGAGGCTACTATTACTAAAAAAATAAGTTTGACCTGAAATGTTTTGATTAGTAGCCACACTTTCAATTCGAAAAGCAATATTAACCAAATGGCAACTTGTTATACAATATTAACTTTTTTTTTTTACTTATTAAGTTTGTGTATTCTTAATTATATTATTGTCTTATTGTATTCTAACAAGTATATTTTATACATTTTTTAACTTGTTCTCACATATGTATTTATTTTGATTTTTGGATTGAACCTTTGTGTAACGAAATAATATTTAATAAAGAAATATTAGCCAAAAATAAGTTTGGGTTTTCATACACTACAATAAATACTACAAGTTTATCCCAAATTTTCATTATAAAATAGAATGGTGTAATACTTTTTTTTTATACCAATGAATCAGGAAAACTTTTCCTAAAGAAAAGCCACTACAGTAAAACCAACATGCCTACGACCTACGAGGTGGGTAAATCTTGCGAAACGGTCTAACACCAAGTGGCAAGACTAGAGTGCGCAAATGATTAAAAGGAGGTAGCCCTTGCAACATTACTCGACATAGAACGGGCCTTTGACCAAATCTCATTTGAATCTATGAACACTGCTTTGTCCAGACACGGATTCACATACACTATCAGCAGATGGATTGATAACATGGTTTGTAGCAGACAAGAACAGGGTGGACCACTTTAGACACTTTTAATCGACAGCATCAATTTCTGAGCAAGAGATAAACCTTTTATATCATTCAAATCAGCAAAAGCAGAGCTTTTCAACGAGCTATTAATATATACGGTGTCCTATTAAAAAAAACCGAACTTTTGTCAATGTCTCGAAATTGGGGCCAACTAGAAAAAACTGAGAACGTTAGTGAATTCTACTTGAAAAATTGCTTCAAGAAATTTTTCACAGAAATCAATTATTTTCATAAACAAAAAAGTTATGAAGGTTTAACAGTTTTTCTCAAAATCGAGAATCGCCCTCTAGCAGCTAAACGGTTGAAGATATCAAAATGCGCTTTGCACCAATCTAAATTTCATGAAATTTGAGCCTCGGAGTGGGGGGTTCATTTTTTTGTATCTCGCTCAGAAATTTATGTTTCCTATTAAAAGTGTCCAAATTGACCCACCCTGTACAGCCTCCTCTAATAATGATACAATGAATGCAGATTGTGTTTATGGACCCTTTCTAACAGAACAAAACAAATATAATATAGGCTACAAAATATTCAGAACAATTGTGTAAGATATATGTATATTTAAGGTTTAAAGTCAACTCCTATTTTCTGAACCTTGCGTTCAGAAATTCCGAAAAAAAAATATATGTTTTATGTTTATTGATATACTTTAATCCATAATTTTTTTAAGCAAATTTGTCTCGCTATTTTTGAGTTATATCGCAAAAACCGAAAAAAAAAGTGGTTTTTCACCATTTATTTCGCAAAAAATAGTTGGAAATACGCCTGTAGCTACACTGTTTAAAAAAAATCCGACGGATAAACGTTCAAAATTATTTGCGTTGATCCAAATTACAACCCTGTTTATGTAAAACAGAATCATACTTCGAATTTCCGCCAAAAAAAGAAAAAACGATCCATCACACAATTTAATTAAATGGAGATTTCTATTTTTTTTGGACTATCAAGTTAGGGCACACTGTAGGGGCGACAGTATTGACATCTCGCGTTCTGTTATAAACTATAGGCTTGACTTTAAACCTCAACATAAATAGACGAGAACATGTTACTCCTTACGTTACTAACAATGAAATGCTCAAGATGAAAAAGAAGATTTTCACATTTTGCTGTTTTGATACAAAATATTATTAAATTAAGAACAATTGCCCAGAATATATCTGCAAACTATTTGTGAGAATTGGTGACATTCATACCAGGTCAACAAGGAATAAAGACACTCAATGGCCTCTTCTCTATAAAACACTTGTTCTGATGTAGTTATTTACAACTTTCTCAGATGTTTTAAGCAAGATCGACGTGAGGCATATAGGTCTGAACGACTTCGGAAGAGTGGCGTCTCTTTTCCCTGCCTTTGAGATGAAAGTTACTTTAGCTCTTCTCCATTGACTGGGTATATATTGCCCATTTTTGCTCACTTGTTTTTTCAGGGAATAGCTGGATTTGTATGCCTCCATCCACTTAGCCAAGAAGACTGGAAATTATTCTTTAGTTTCAAAGCCCTGGAATTAAAGAATACATTATATCACTAGGTACCATCGTCATCAAAAGTATCTGGGACAAAAATAATGCATAATAATCTCCTGGATACGAAGGCGTAGAAGGGACATTTATTAAATTTTTATTTGCTGGTACAGATCCACAATTAATTCCGTGTTAACTAACTCGGAATTAATCCCCTCCTATTTAATTCCGTATTAACTAACTCCGGAATCAATTTCCTCTTAGTTAATTTCGTGTTAAGTAACAGAGGGAATTAATCTGCTCTTATTTAATTTCGTGTTAGGTAACTGGGAATTAATCCCCTCTTATTTAATTCCGTCTTATTTAATTCCGAGTTAATTAACACGGAATTAAATAAGAGCAGATTAATTCCCAGTTACTTAACACGAAATTAACTAAGAGGAAATTGATTCCGAGTTAGTTAACACGGAATTAAATAGGAGGGAAATAATTCCGAGTTAGTTAACACAGAATTAATTATGCATCTTTACCAGCAAATAAAAATTTAATAAATGTCCCTTCTACGCCTTCGTACCTGGACTAATTCTACTGTCATTCATTTCAATGCATTTAAATTATAGGTTGACAAATATTTGACAATAAAATTCATATAATAGTACAAGAGCTTATGTGCTGCTGTCCCAGTTACTTTTGGTGACGATGGTACATTAAATTGTGATTAATCAAAATAAAAACTTTAATTTTATGTATTTTTTTGACTCTTGCCGTTCCGAAATAACTGATGTGAAATTAATTTAAATTCAAAAGTTTAGGAAAAATGTGAATTTTGGAAAAGATATTGTATCTTTACTTAATTAGTCTCGGTTGGTCCAATTGCCGCCATTTTGTTTACCTGTCCTGTCACAAATGTTTGCCTTTGGCGAATTTGCCTGCACCGCTGGACCTGGATCCCCCCCAGGGTGAAAAGCTATCTACGCCACTGAAATCGATTTTTCTCTAAAATTAACCGTTCAGGTTTTACAGCCTGTCAATAAAGTTGCAAAAAGTTAATTTTCAACTGGCAATATTTCCAAAACAGTTAAACTTCGGTATAGGATATAGCACATGAAATCTGCTCAGAATTTTACGTAGAATCCAAATATGTAATCACATACAGGGTGTTCCTTTTAAAATAGCGATGTTGCCACTAGTTTAGAGTAGAAGCGGCAACACCGCATAAACAAAAATACTTTTAAAGTGTAGATTATGGTCGTTTATCTCGGTTGCCAAATTTTCAAAATGATCTGCTTTTTAGTTTTCCATTAACATCTAATACGCCATCCACCGTGAGACACCCTGTATGTAGGGCTGCAGGTGCATGCATGCCATTTTGTTTCTGCACTTGAAATATATTTTCTTAATGAATTGCAAAATGGCAAGCAAGAAACAATCATTATTTTTGGTTTATATTTTCTGCAACTTTTTCCATGTATTCCTATTCAATGTTACGCCCTGAGATGCATGCCAATTTTTCATTATATAAATGAAAATTTGAACAAATGGCATGCAATTTGAAATCACCAAAAGTATACTAGAAATTTTCACAGAATTTTCCACTAATTTTCTAGGTTTCCCCCACCGAGCGGCGCATGCCATTTATTTTTTAGGCTGTTATTTCGATGAAAATTAAAGATTTCCATTGGCATGCAATTTCAAAACATTAAAAATCAGCATTATTTTTTTTCATCTTCAGGTGACTCTTTGAAGCATTTGCGCTACTGCGGGGTGCATGCCTTTCATTATAAGACTTTCAATACGTTAGTTTTACCTTATGTTTAAATGGCATGCAGTTACTGATCACCAAAAACCACAAAAGTTTTTCACAAATGAAAATTCGATTTTCCCTATATAGCGGCTTTGAGCGGCGGTGAAAATCATATTTTTTCTTACTGTTCCTGGGTTAATTATCAACCATTAAAAAGGCATGCGGGATAAAATCAGTAGGTAAAACCTGTCACGCCCTCCCAATCTAATACCAGTCGAAAATTTTGCCAACAAAATTTTTTCTCTTGTGGTATTATACAGGGCTTTCATTTCAAAACTTGCCACCCACGTTATCTGCGTAAAGAGGTATATTTGGGGAAATCGCTGAAACACGTCAAATTTATTGAGGGGGAAAGTTTTTTACGCGGAGCTAGACCTCAATGTTACAGAATACCACCCATTTCAATGTTTAAAAATGCCTATTTATTTTTAAAGACACCTGCTTTTTTACCTATCTTATCATTACAGCAACAGGTAAATAAGCAGGTGTGTTTAGGGATGAATAGGCATTTTTAAACATTGAAATGGGTGTTATTCTGCAACAGTGAAGTCAAATTCAAATAATAGGACGGTAAAATGTGCAGATTAAACAGCCCTTTGAAATGATCTATCAGTCAATTCGTTGTCTCATTTGAAAATTTTGGGGTGGTAGCCCCAGGGCATAGGGGGTTGAAGGGGCGTAGAACAGACCTATAGATTACTCATTGAAAACTTCCTATCACTAGTTGTGGTCATTTGGGAGCTGTTTGATCATATTTACCCTTATGCAAAATTTTGTCGTTTTTGAGATATCAGCATTTTTAGATATTTTTGGGAAATATTTGAGTTGTTCCTAAAACATATTGTTTTTTTTTTTTTTGGAATAACCATTTTAACCTTTCTCAATTTTTTTTCCGATATTCCTGATATGCATTCTTTCGAAAAACTCGGAAAGAAAATCGGAATGATTGATACAAAAAATATGTAGCCCAAGTTATGTGTTAAAATACATGGATTCAAAATATCTAAAATGGCGATATCTCAAAAAAGGCGAAACTTTGCATGAGGGTAAATCAGCTTCCAAAGGACCCCAACTATGGGTACATTCAGGCGGTCCCAGCGGCTTAGCTCAGCCTTTCAGCAGGAACTTTATTCTCGAAACCAAGGAACAGCTTTCTCATAAGAACGATTACTCTGTCATTGTCAGTGTTATGCCGGACGACAAAGACAGAATCTTCGTTCCAATGAGAACGCTGTCCCTTGGTTTCAAGAATAAAGTTCCTGCTGAGAGGCTGAGCTAAGCCGCTGGGACCGCCTGAATGTACCCAATCACTCATTGAAATTTTCTTGAAATCTTCTACAGATGTACCAAAAACCCTGTATTATTGGTTCGCTGTTCGATTTATATTTCTTAATTTTTTTACGTCGTGGTTTCATTTTCCATAAATTTTTTTTGTTGTTGTATGATATAAATTTGCCGCCCCTGGATCGTGCCGCCCATCTCGCCCCCCCCCCCTTAAGCCGGCCCTGGGCGTAGTCCAGTTTTAGGTAAGAAAGCCTTCCCTCTCAATAAATTTGTTGACGTGTTTCGGCGATTTCCGCAAATATGCCTCTCTACGCAGATAACGTGGGTGGCAAGTTTTGAAATGAAAGCCCTGTACATATATGAAAAAGTAATCAACAAAAAATAAAACACCAAAGTTGGAAATCCAATTTTTCATTTATTTATTTATTTAAGGTACAATAAACATCTTGTAATAAGTGGTTATATTATATTCAAAAAGCTGTTAAAATTAGATATATATATATATTTTTTTTTTGTTGAAACCTGGGCCTACAAAATACCCTTTTTAGTTTTATAATAGGCACTACCAACTGTCACACATTTACTTGTTTTCCAATTAAAAAGTAATTAAATTGTCTTTGACAGGAATAATATAACAATAATTGAAATTATAAGAATTAAAAAATTTACAAACAATATTCTTAAAAAAACTACATAGATACAATCTGAGAAAAAAAATATTGAAGTACAAGCCTCATAAAGCAAATATGTAAATTTTATGAATTTATCTGTGCCAATAAGGAGTGAATTTTGACTTTCTAATATTGGAATTCCCAAAAACCAATAGCTAAACGGAAACATGTGCATAATAAAATACAATTTTTTTTTTTTTGAAGTGGTACATTTTAAAGGAATAGTAAATATAAATTGTACGGATCAAGTAAATTTACTTGTTTTCTAGAATGAAGGCTTTGAGTTTATCGTAGTTAGCCCCAGCAAATGTTGAAATGACAACCTTGTTTTTGATGAAAACAAATGTAGGCATGGACGAAATGTTGTATTCCATGGCGAGGTCCTCACATTCATCAACATCGACCTAGAATTTTGAGAAAAAAAAAATGTATTATTTGTTTGAAGTAAGCATAATCAATCATGTCCTAAATATAGACTTTCCAAAATGTATTCAAATTATGTTGCAAGCTTTTATTAATAAACCACAAGACACTTTTAGAAATGAATACTCGATGAATAAATTATTAGCCGACATGGTGGACATGACTCATAATAAATTCCATACTATCCCAGTAATACGGTATTTTATTATTAAGACAGGTTGCATAGTCGATACCAAATGCATAGCTCTTGCAATTACTTTAATACCCTTTAAATTAAGTGTTAACTGGCAGTATGTATTTTTTTTTAAATCAGAACAACCTTACTTTTTTTTAAATTTATTTTTTCCAATATGTGAACACATTTGGTACTTAAATGATATTCCATAGAAATTGTAATCTATTATTACAAATTTCAAAGCAGTTGCAAGATGTAGCGAGTCTTGCAGGCAGTACTTATAGTTCAATCAATTAAAAAACTAACTCTATTCTATTCTATCAGTGTCTTGATTTCTCAGTTATGATCTCAAATTTTAAATAATTTTTGAACTGTCGCCGCCCTGAATATTTTGATTAATTTAGGCTCATTATGAACTGTAGACACTCAACTCATTAGGTGTAGGAAGCTTGTGTAGTTGATGTTATTCAAATTTTTTTTGGAGACTTGTGACTCTAATCTAGATTTACCAGTTAGGAACCCAAATTTTAGTCCAATTAGAAACTTCTGATGATTGCTAACCTTTAAAATATGAACGTTGGTGTGTTCACCAGCCAATTCTTCCAACTTGGGACTGATCACTTTGCACGGCCCGCACCAGGTGGCGAAAAAGTCAATTACGACCAATTGGTCCCCTGCGTCGTTGAGCTTTTGAAGCAAATCATCCTGAAAAAGAACAAACAATGTTGAAAAACTTGAATTTACACATTTTTAATGAATAACGCGAATCAAGTCAGTGTTAAATTTTTTTTTTTCTATTTTGGTGTCATATCGAAGTCTTTTCGACACTAAAAGTAGTTTCGAAAAGAAGCTCTTTGTGACACTCCTTTTTTACTTATCGGAGGTTGGTAACACTGGCGGACTGATGGCCATCGAACTGTCATTCACGATTTTATAATAGAAGATTTCTATATTTGGCATGTAGTGTTACCAACCTAAACTATGAAATCAGGAAATATGAGAATAAAATTTCCAAGAATTTTTTTTTTTTTTTAATTAAACAATACCAAAATAGAAAAAATAGTATAAAATATTCGTTTCATAAGACATTTTATCGCATTCGCCCTTTAGAAAACTCGCCTCCGGCTCGTTTTCTAATATAGGGCTCGTGCGATAAAATCACGTCTTATGAAACTTGTATTTTAATGTACTATTTTGTACAATAATGACAAATTTTAAATATATATTGTTTAATTGCTCAATTCCAAGGCAATCATTATTGATTTTTTTTGTAATCTAGTTATAAGTAGCCAAAAAATAATTATATAATAATAAAAGTACGAAATGAGTATAACACATGAAAACTTATGTAACCATTACCAGTCGGCCTGTTCATGAGACTCATGCAGTCGTTTATTTATTATTTTTTCCTATAGCCGTGCAAAAAAATCGATTTTCCGCACTGATATGCGTGCGGAAAATGAATTTTCCCGCACGGTGCGGTAAAACTTTTTTTTTTTACATATCAGTGCGGAAAAAGTTTTTCCGCACGGCTGTCAGTGCGGAAATAGCTATTTACCTAACAAGTGCGGAAAATGAATTTATGGGAACTTTTTTTCTTAAAATATGGCAAAGAATCACATATTGAAGTTACGAACCGTACTTAGAAAACACACACATATTTTTCTTTTGTTTGACCACCCTGTACAGGGTGCTGCAATTTGGAGTGTTTTAACAGGAAAAACATACTTCCAGACCAGATAGAGGAAAATTGACTTAGATGTCATGGGATCGATTTTCGAGAAACGTCGATTGTCAAAAACCGTATCGCGATATCTTCAATGGCACCATTAATACAGGGCGATTTTCGATTTTCCCCTACTATGAAAAATGGCTATAAGTTTTTTGTTTATCAATTTTTTTTATTTCTGTGAAAACATCTTTAGGATACCTTTTTGAGCACAATCTAGTGGCGTACTCAGTTTTTTTCTATTTCGCTCCCATTTTGAGATATTGACCAAAGTTCGATTTTTTTAAATAGGGCACCCTATACAGGGTGGTCCATTTAACTTGAGACAGTCTAATACCTCGAAAACGGTGCGTTTTTGAAAAAAAAAAGTTCAAATAAAAGTTACATGGTATCATGTGGGAAACAAAATGGCGGTACTGATTTTTGACTTCGACAACGTTTTCAAGGTTATTTCGAGGTCAACTCTTTTTTTTTCAACGGAAATATATTTCTTTATTACAGAATCTTATTCTACAGAAAAAAACCAGTAACTTTTACTTGAAGCATTTTTCGATCCGGTTTCAATTTAGGCTGATAAAAAAGAACGAATATTTTTTTTGTTTTCTCCTCACAAAATCGAACAGTAGAGAAAGGTTACCAAAAATACCTTAAAAACTATAACAATTGATCAAAATGACGATCGCCAACTTCAACACACTTGTCAAATCACTTTAAAAATCAAACACACAGTTTATCAAGAGGTTCCCACCACAACACCGGATAATATGATGGAACACATAAGAGATGCTTAGAGCTGTCAGTAAAGAAACTGTAATTTGGTGCCATGAAAGCTTTTTACAGCGAATTAACAAGTGTGTTGAAGTTGGCGGTCGTCAATTTGATCAATTGCTATATTTTTGAGGTATTTTTGGTAACCTTTCTCTACTTTTCGATTTTGTGAGGAGGAAAAAAAAAATTATTCGTTCTTTTTTATCAGCTTAAATTGAAACCGAATCGAAAAATGCTTCAAGTAAAAGTTACTTGTTTTTTTCTGTAGAATAAGATTCTGTAATAAAAAAATATATTTCCTTTGAAAAAAAAAGAGTTGACCTTGAAATAACCTTGAAAACGTTATCAAAGTCAAAAATCACTAGCGCCATTTTCTTTCCCACATGATACCATGTAACTTTTATTTGAACTTTTTTTTTCAAAAACGCACCGTTTTCGAGATATTAGACTGTCTCAAGTTAAATGGACCACCCTGTATATTAAAAGCTCAATGGATAGCTCTGCTTTTGCTGATTTCAACGATATAAAGTTTATATTATATCTGTTTCAGTCATAAGAAGCAATGTGTTAGAAAGAGACCTTCCTCATTTTCCTTACACATATAAAATTCTTTCCTAACACATTGGTCCTTACGACAAAAACAGATATAATTTTTTTTCTCGAAAACTCTTAGAGATAAACCTATCGAACTTTATATCATTGAAATCAGCAAAAACAGAGCTATCCAATGAGCTATTAATATATAGGGTGTTACACTTGAAAATATCGGACTTTGGTCGATATCTCGAAATCGGAGCGATATAGAAAAAAAAATAGTCCGCCACTGGATTGTGCTCAAAAAAGTGTCTGCATAATGTTTTCACAGAAATAAAAAAAATTGATAAATAAAAAACTTATAGCTATTTTTTGTAATAGGGGAAAATCGAAAGTCGCCCTGTATCAATCAATGGTACCATTGAAGATATCGTGATACGGTTTTTGACAATCGACGTTTCTCGAAAATCGATCCCATGACATCTAAGTCAATTTTCCTCTATCTGGTCTGGAAGTATGTTTTTCCTGTTGAAACATTCCAAATTGCAGCACCCTGTACAAGGTGTGTTCCCTATAATTAGTGCGGCTTCTACAGCTTAAACAAAAAATTATTTGAAAAAAAGTTTAATACAAAAGCTGTAGGGTTGCATTTTTTTAAATAGAACACCCTGTATATTTTTGGCTAGAATGATAGATTTTTTTTTCTGATTCCAAATATACCATATATGTTGATATCTGGTTCAGCTGTTTTTACGCTATTCAAATTTAAAAATGCATTTACATCACCCTAAATTAGGTCTGTCTCGGTTTCTTATATCAATGATGAGAGGCTTGCTCAATGCAATTTTAAAATGAAATAGCGCAAAAACAGCTGAATCAAATATCAACATATGTATATGGTATATTTGGAATCAGAAGAAAAAAATCTATCATTCTATCCAAAAATATACAGGGTGTTGCATTTAAAAAAATGCAACTGTTTGTCATTATGACCGTTGGCACCTGTCATTTGCTCATTTTGACATTTGCAAGAGATAATAGAGATAAAACCCTACAACTTTTGTATTTAACTTTTTTTCAAATAATTTTCTGTTTAAGCTGTAGAAGCCGCACTAATTATAGAGAACAGACCCTGTACATGCTATTTCAAGTTTTAGTAGTTTAAAATTATTTTTTTCTCCAAACGTCAAAAAAACGTCACTTTGTTAACCCTTGTCAAGATGTCAGAAATTTAATTTCTATGCTGGGGGGGTTTATTTGAAACATGCAATTCAAATACGTCTGACTAAGTCGCAATTTTTACCGGTGAAATCCAAAAAAATGCACATGTGGCTTATTTGAAACTTTCGTCGACGCATTTCGCTAAATTTGTCGACGCAAGATTGCATTTGACATGCGTCACCTCTAGAGCTCGTGCATTTCCAAATTGCACGCGAAAGTTGATTAAAAATTTAAGTTTAGTCGACCAAGAATAATCTATTAGGTAATGACAGGGAATTTATAAAAAACTTTCGACTTTCAAAAGAATGTTTTGTCGAGATTCCTTCCATGAAAAGCAGTTCGAAAAATTTCCCGACAGAAGGGCCGGATATTTGTGCAAAAATTCGACCAAGAGTTCTTTTTGTTTTTTGGGAACTAATCCAGACCTTCTCTTATTGGCACTTGCCCCCCACACTTTCCATCCTTTTTGCGGTATTGCCTACACTTATAGAAAGAATAGACTAAGATAATATCAAGCAAAAAAACACAAAACTCCAACTAAACACGAAACTGTATGCACGGGAATAACCAAAAAGTTGTTTACATTGAACAATTTCAAATTTGACATTTCAATGCATCGTTCCGTTTGGTTATATGAAATTTTCTAACAATGTCATTGGTTAGAATCTTTTACAGGACACGTTGCCAAGTTGAGTAGTGCAAATTTGAAAATTCATGATTTACAAAATGCACAAGCTTTCAAATAAGCCGATCGTGAATTTTCAGAATTCGTCGACGCACATATTTCGACCGACTGCGTCGCATGTGACAGATTTGCACGGATTTCAAATAAACCCCCCCTGGGCCCTTATTCTTGAAACAGAGGAGCAGCGTTCCCAGGAGAACGAGTGTTTCGTCTTTCTCAATGATATGCAACTGATAATATAAGTAACAAAGACGGAATACTTGTTTTCCTGGGAACGCTGCTCCCCCGTTTCAAGAATAGGGACACTGGTAGGCAAATCCAGCAGGTTAACACCTGTCAAGGTGGTAGACATTTAATTTCTATGCTGCTAGGCAACCGCAGCGGCAGTAGAAGTACTTTTAGTGACGCTGGAGCGGCAGCAAAAGTACTTTTAGTGCCGCTTGTACTTTTACTGCCGCTCAACCATTCAGTCACCCCCGAGCTCACCCCATTTGTTTGGAGAAAAAATAGCGTGTTGCATACGGAGTAGAAGCACTTTTTTGTGCTTCAGCAGTATTGCAAGCCTCACTACGTTCGGCTCGCAAACCTACTGCTTAAGCACAAAAAAGTAAAGCTTCTACTCCTAATACAACAATATACTATTTTAAGAAGCAGAAACCTTATAAAATAGTATATTGTTGTATTAGGAGTAGAAGATTTACTTTTTTGTGCTGAAGCAGTAGGTTTGCGAGCCGAACGTAGTAAGGCTTGCAATACGGCTGAAGCACA